GTTTACATAGGTTTTATTTACCTCATCTTTTCGCAAACAATCTTGTAAAATCTGTATTGATCCTTCTTTATCAATATATATTTTAAATTTGAAAATTTTACTGTGTTTGTATTCATTCTCATCCCTTCTACAAACTGTTATACACATCTTATAGACCCTGACGGGACCAACATCCTCTCCTCTCAAAGAAACACTCTGTTGAAGCCTTGCTCCAACTCTCGATTGTCGTCGATACACAATGGCTTTTTGCTATTTGTTTAGTATCTTTGAAGAAACAATCAAGAAAATCCCTACCCCACATGTGCTTTCAAAGAAACCCCCTGTTGAAGTTCCACCCACAAATCTCACTACTACTTGTTCTGTTTCTTGCAATAAACAATCAAGAAAAGTTTTGATAAATAAAGTTGGAATAAACTTTCTACTTTGTTTCTTGCAACAAACCCTCTGTTCTATTTCTTGGAATAAACCTCGAAGAAGGGGTTGACTTCAATGAGAAAACTCCAGTTAAACATGGTGATTAGGTAGAAGAAGGGGTTGTAACTGCAATGGGGTAAAGAAGTCGAGTTCTACCACCAAAATTCAATGTGAACAAAAAATCTATATGTAATTTCTATTTTGTGCCCTCATTTTCTGATAATCAAATTAAACAGTATACAAAGTTTAATCTTAAGATATTTAACAAAAGAACAAAGGATTTCAAAATTACTTTGTTATTTATTTATTAACGTAAGATGATAATACAAAAGTATGAGTTTAATGAAACAAAAAATGAACATTAAGGGTAAAATGGTCATGTTTACATTTAGAATATTTATTTAGCACAATAGCCGAACTACAATCTATTTTATATCACACAGATAACTTTATCAATACAGATAGTTTTATCCGTACAAGTCTTAATAGAAAACGAAATGAACAACCCCTAAGGTGGCGTTTGGTTCGCAGAATGTTTTTGGATGAAATGAAATATGTTAAAAGAATTTGACTTTGAAGGAATTGGAATGGAATGTTGTCAAGTTTGACCACCTGTTTGGTTGGCAAACATTAGAATGAAATTTGTTAAAGAATTGGAATCTGTCTGTTTGGTTCACATAATATAGCTTTAGAATTGGAATAAAATATTGGTAAATGACCAAAATGCCCTTTTTTAAAATTTTAATTTTTTAAAAAACTAAAAAAACTTTAATAAAATAATTATTTAATATGTAAAAAATATACACAACCCAAATATAATCAAAAGCCAAACGACGTTACTAAATAGACGGTGGTCGGCGGTGGTTTAGATCGATGGTGGTCCATAGTGGTTCAGATGGTGGTGGTCCGTAGTGATTCAAAATGATGGTGGTCCGCAATGGTTCATATAGAGGTGGTCAGCGGTGGTTCAGATAGGTGGTGGCGGCAGTGGTTGCTCAAATCGGTGATTGTTGGCGGTGTCCGACGGTGATTCAGATCATTGGTAGTCGTCGGTGGTTGGCAGTGATATAGATCGATGGTGGTTCTTGGTGGTTCAGATGGTGATGGTCGACAGTGGTTCAGATCGGTGGAAGTCCATGGTGGTTCAGATGGCGATTATCGGCGGTGGTTCAGATTGACGGTGAATCAGATCAGTGGTGGCTCAGATCGGCGATGGTTCAGATTGGTGGTAATCGGTGGTGGTGGTCGACGGTGGTTCAGAGCGATGGTAGTCGGTGGTGGTGGTCGACGGTGGTTCAGATCGATGGTGGTTCAGATCGGTGGTAGTCAGTGGTGGTCGACGATGGTTCAGATCCGTGGTGGTGGTTAGCGGTGGTGGTCCATGGTGGTTCAGATGGCGGTTATTGGTTAGATTGAAGGTGAATCAGATCAGTGGTGGCTCAGATCGGCGGTGGTTCAGATCGGTGGTAGTCGGTGGTGGTGGTCGGCGGTGGTTCAGATCGGTGGTAGTTGGTGGTGGTGGTCGGCGGTGGTTCAAATCGATGGTGGTCGGCGGTGGTTCAGATCGGTGGTGGTCGGCGGTGGTTCAGATCGGTGGTGATCGGCGGTGGTTCAGATCGGTGGTAGTCGGCGGTGGTTCAGATCAATAATGGTCGAGAGGTGGTCGACGATGGTCATATTGAGTTTTATGAGATTAGAGTATATTAGGTTAAGAACATATTTGGTATAATGAAGATAGAGATTCCATTCCATCAATATACCATGTAGTTGCTAAGGAATGTTAAATTTCTTTATTTGTGGAATTTGTAGGATTTTGAAGATTCCTTTCGTGAAAAAGAATGAATCAAACGAGGGAATGGAATTTGGTCAATGAAATTCAACATTCCAATTTAATCAGATTCCTCCAGAATCTGTGAACCAAACGCCACCTAAGTTTCTTATCCTAATTTCAGTTGAAAAAACTCGGTTAAACTCGCGTTGACCAACAATTGCACGTGACTTCTTTTCATGCGACCTTGGTTGCATTGACCAATTGCGCACCTCCTTTTTGATGTATTGTATTATATGTGAGTATTCTCTAGAATAACTTGTGATTTTGCCTTTCTTGTACTTCCAGTAAGTTAACTGCTTCTCATACGATCCTCCCCTCCCCCTGTTTTTTTGATGAACCGGCGCTAGCAACCTTGGCTATATACCTTTGGCGACCTTGCCATCACATAACTTATCTTGGTCACTAACCACCGCCATTTCACCCCTTCCCTCCCCTTCCCTACGCTAGTAAGAACCTCCATCATGATCCCTTGATCATTCTTCACCTGCCAAACCCCTTATGTACCCTACCTTCGTCACCGAGATCCCATCGCGGCAAGAAAATAGGAACGATAACACAAAAAACAGAAACCATCTTGACCCCCTCCTTTCATCATTCATCCATATCCGAATCTAACAAGAAATAGAGACGTAAAACAAATAGCAAAAGAGCTTTAAGAACGTGGTGATTAGGTAACCACACTACATTTATAAATCCATGGAGATTTATCAATAAAGATAATATCATATTCAATTTTGGTGGGAAACCCCAAATCCAAACCCGATAGTTCTACATCTGCAATTCCTTTCTCCCCTTCTTCCTCAACGTTCTGGCGAACTTCAACCTTCCACCACCGCACCCCACTCGACCTGCAACCCAACACCCCATTTTTTGAGTTCTTATCGGGAAAAAGCTGGATTTATCAAAACGATGGAGAACAAAACCCATCAAACCTGTTATAGGCCCATCACGAGAAGCAACAAACTAATCAAGAGAAACAATGGAGAAGAAATGAATGTGATCAATTGAAGTAGGGTTTTTGTTAGGCAATTAAAACATGTTTTAAACCCTCTTTGTCTTGGTTTTTGGTAAACAAGATCTGGATTTTGATTTGGTGAGGATGGTCTAGGAATTTGGTAAGGAAGAGAAAGGGGATCAAGGGAGGGGGAGGGTGGTTGTCGGAAATGCTCTTGACTTAGTTTTCTATAACTAGAGTTAGGATAAGACACTCAGTCCATAACAAACATGAAACCTTGAGCACCTAGACATGATTTTTAGAGTTTAGGGAAATAATTTATAATCGTGATGAAACCAAAGGAACGAAATCGCATTAATAAAACTTTTTACAGGAGCAGGCCAATCTGGAACTTTTTTTATAAAAAGGAAGAGAACTTCTCACCGAACACTTGCTTTCGTGCTGGAATTCCCTTTTAGCGTCGGTCAACCATACGACAATGAATCCGTTCCCGAATCTTGTACAATGCTCGTCAAACTATAGGAATTGGTCTTTGCTAAATGATAGATAACACGATGTATAAAATCTGATATTCCCCAACATATCAAAAATAGCTTTCAAGCATTTCCTTTAATGGTTTTATAATGGGATGTTTGAAGAAATATATTTTTTAGAACGAATATTAAAAAGAAAACTTAATTTGTAGGGTCAAAAGTCACCACCATTGGCAAGTAGCAACTACAACTAATTGTTTTACATTTTAAAACGTGAAATGGATTTGTAATTTATAAATCTAAACAATTAGTAATTTTAAGCAGTGATTATTAATGATCTAAAATATAAAATTGAAAAATATAACCACAAAATACAGTTTCTTTTATCATAAAACAAAATAAATTATTTTTTTATCTCTATGATTTGTTTAGAATTATTATTTCTGATTCTTATATTAAATTATGGTTTTCATTTCAAAGATTTATCATCTTCTTTTTATTTATATTTTCATTCCATGTGTCTTATAATCTTTATTATCTTATAAACTAAATTTATCAAAAGTTTTAAAAACAATTTTTAATGTATAAAGTCTTAAAAATAACTCATAATACATTAAGTATTACTACTTTATGCATTAAGTCTTAAAATTTCTTAATCAACAATTAAAATAACTTATAATTCAAGTTACTAATGCACATTATTATCTTTTCTTTTCATGTTTTCAAATATTTTTGACACCTTTCAGTCATGTATTCACTCTCTCATATCTCTATGTCTTCTTCCTATCTTCCAAGGTGAGATTCAAACTGATATTCATCATGAATTATTAAAAGTTCTCACATTCATCTCCCATTCAATTGTTATAAAACTCTACGTCTCGCTCTCGATCTCTTGATTCTTTGCTCTTGGTGTAAATCGAACGCATTTATAAAGTCGTTTAAATATGTTGGATTTTAAACTGTCATACAGATTTTTTCATCGATAGACTACAATTGGAACCATAACTCTTATTTAATCAAATTGTATTAATATGTAAAGACCAATTGTAACTTATATCATCATTAAATCTTCTTTAATAAAACTTCAAAATCGTTAAAATTCCCGACTCCCACCACATTATACGGGTACACAAGTAGTTAATAGTTAACAGGAAGTAATTGATAGAGTTGGTATCAAACATACAAAACAACAATGAATCCTAAACTACAAAACAAGAACTGTAATTTAAAAAACGCAAAAACAAAAATCATAATTTTTAAAAAACAATTGAATATAGTTTTTAATTGATTCTTTTTTTTTTTTAATAAAGGAAGTGTACGTATTCATATTCTTTCTACATAAAATACCTCAAATTGGTTGCCTTTTGCCATTCCAACAAGGCAACAAACACCTTTTTTCTTTCTTAACTTGTATTTTAGAGAATAATTAAATAAAAAGAAGAAATAAAGAAAGAAAATGGTCTTCGACAAAATCGCATCCTAGATCTGACGCTTCTGTTTCTTTCTTTTTTCATGTTTACACTCTACCCCCTTCTACTTTACGTAATTTACAAATTTCACCCTCCATACTCCATACTCAACATCCTCCTTGCATTCATTTCCAGAATCATGCTACAATTTCTCATAGTCCCCTGAAAAAACAAAACCTTCTGATGGTGCTTGATGCAGAGTTATTGTTGCCAAATGGAATTCATTCAACCAATTGCAACGTAGAAATGTGCAAAGTGATGAGTTCTCTCACTTTGACTGAATCGTTAAGGCCGTGAGACTCGCCGGAAGCGGTGTCGGAGTGTGATGGTGGTGGTGTTCTCCGTCGTATGTTACCAGAAGCATCTTTGAATCTGTTACAGATAACTCTACGCGCTTCCTCGCCGGACATCCTTTTGCGGAATTGCACTTGTAATATACTCTGCAAATTTTCACAATCCAGATCAATCTCCAGGAATATTTCAACAACTCACATCAATTTTATGAGTCAATTGTGTTTATCGGAGCAATTTCGAATCAATTACCTTGGAAAGAGTGATCCGTCGACCTTCTTCTCACCGTATTTCTTCCATGAGTAATCATCGGCCGGTATACTTTCTATTTTTGATCCGATTATTGGAATTCTTCTAGTTTTCTGTTTTGATACGGTTTTCCTGAACAAGAAAAAGGGGGGGGGGGGGGATGAGACACCAATCGATAAACTTGAGGCGTATGATAGAGGAATAGAATATGTTTTAGCTAAGATGCACGGTGAAATTTGTTCATACCTTCTCTTGCAACAGTGGCAAGGGGTGCGAGAAGCAGAATGGTCCTCTTTTCCAGATCCTTGCAAGGTAGCAGACGGCCGGTCGGTGCTGTGCCTTTTTCGGTGAGAAGATGGAAGCGGCGGCTTCCTCGATGAGAACGACGGTGCCGGTGCTACTATGCCTAAAGAGGACAACTGTTTGCCATTCGAAACACTTCCTTCTAGGCCTTCCCCGGCCAAAGAAGATACCAAAGACGAAGTCGTCAACTGAAACGACGAGATGGTGTCTGTAACAGATCTTTTCAAAGAACAATCCTTAGACACCGTCGTTGACTCCCCCGGAGGCGGATTTTTAGGCCGTTTTTCTTCAGATTGAGAAGATATAGAAGGCGCGTGCTGGTCGGAGGATGAAGGTGGAGGTCCGCGGCGGAAGCGAGCGTGTCCGCTTCGCTTCAAGGCGGAGACGGCTTGCTTGAAATTAGAAGACACAGCAAAGTCGTGATTCTTCAACTGGAAGATGCGATTCAGGTGTTCGATAGTTTGGATTCCAACTAAATCGACCGCCATTGTAGTAGAAGAAAACCTTGAACGAATTGAAGGAAGGAGAGAGATTGAAGAGAAGTGGGGATGGAGACGGGGATTATAAGAGGAGATTGGGGAAAGTGAAGTCAAAGAGATGGGAAGTTGATCGGACGGTTGAGATGTGTTTGACTTTCTGAGCTGAAATAAATAAACGGACAAATGAACAGAGGGAATCATTTCAGAAAGTCTAACAAGGACTGAATATTTTAACTTTAAAAATAATAAAAAATATAATTTATAATTTTCTTAAATAATTCAAAAATATATATCTTCTTATTGATGTCAACTCATTCTAACCTAACAAACAACACCACTTTTTCCCCCCTAAATATTAAGAAATAACCGATAATCACACAAATTGATCAACCAAATTTATAGAATTACCTTTTTTTTAAAGTCAGTTATTTATCAGTCAAATTAAAAATCATATCCCAATGGAACATACCCGAACCATTTGCGGAATTATGACTAAATTTTTAATATAAGAAACAATTAATTTACTGATTTTTCATTCGATTAATTGCGTTTTTTGTTTTCGTTTTTCTCAATCATATTCATGCAATTCTTTTTCCATTTTCTAATGTATTTATCTATTACACATATCATAAAACTGATACATACGAATATAGTTTCATGCATCTATTAATTTTAATTTCACAAATAAATATTTCTAGGGTATGAACAATACCTCTAATTAAACTTGAACGGTGATCCTAGATGTTGTAAATTAGAATAAACATCAAACAAAAATAAATAAATGCCTTAAAATCTACTAAATAGACTTTAAAAAAAATCACCCAAAATCATGGAATTCGGATAAAAGTATATGGTATGACTTTACAGATTTGCAAACTTGCTCGACAAAAATCTTATATTTGCTCAACAAATTTCGGGATAAAAAAACTTTTATTTTCTACGTTATTTTTTTCGCATTATTCCCTATATGTTCTTTCCCTTTTCAATGAACTATTTATCCTACCTTTATATAAGAGCAACAATCGTTGAAACAACAGCTATGAACTTCTTTTTCTTTTTAGAAAAAAGTAGAGGGGATTCGTAACGCAGGGGAGAAAATAGTGTGTGATTGGGTGTAGGATTAGGTACAAGGATGGCATCATTTGGGCCCACATGAGTGGACTCATTGGGAAATCTTTTGGACACAAAATATAAAAAGAAAAGAAAGAAAAGGCTAAAAACATGCTTCTGGTTTCAAGTCAATGTCCAAAATTTTTCTTGTAAGGGTATTAAATGTAAATAATTATACATTTGATGTAAAAGTTTTGTTTTACACCCTCAACCTTTCACAAATGCCCATCCTCCAATAAAATGATGAATTCTAACAATTAATAAGCATCTTTATTTCATTTTTGTTTTAACCATTGGACTTTAAAAATAGTCACTAAAACAAAATGTATTCTTTAGAATTAATATTAACCCAAATAAATTTTACAAATTTCATTTGCATGTACACTTGACATCTGTTACAAATTACAAAGACTAGATAAAAATCTTCACATTGTAACAAGTCTTTTCTTTTTGCTATCTGTAATTTATGTGTTTCTTTGATTGTGTAGATAAGTTCAGTATCTTAATTATTCCACAAATAGTTTGTAAAAATCTGTATTGATCTTCTTTATCAATATAAGTTTTTTAAAAGTGAAAACTGTTGTTTGTATTCACCCCCCTAGTCGGGTAATATCTCACACCTTTAAACTTAATGAAATTGGGCCACAAAGCAAGTATACAATACGGCCCAACGTCGTCTTTCCAAGTAATAAAGTGGTACAAGTACCGGATTATCGTCCACGGAGATTGTAGCCAATGTTAAATGAGAGTCCAATGAAAGAGATGATTTCAGATGACGATTTTGAAGACTTTTGTTTGATTGTAAGGTGAATTAAAACAGAATACATAATATAAAAAGGAAGCAAGGGTGTAAGACTTAAGTTGAGAACCAAACACAAATTTCAGCAGCCAATGCTATAACAATGCTATAGCAAGCAGTGTTTCGAAACTAAGTTCCACCATCTATATTGAAGGCATTTCTCTCGGACTTCACCATTGCACTATATTATAGCTTTCCACCCATATCTCTATGTGGTGTCCGGACCAAGGATAGTGATACGGTGGTGTTTTCAAAATATATGGATAAACAAATCTCTTTGTTAAAAATCACTCTTTTGAGTTGATTCCTATATCATTCGAGTTGGCGTGTTCTTGATAGTTCATCTCTGAATCCATCACACTTTGACACTTTCGAAGAATGACCAACCCGTCGGGAGTTAAGTTTTGAAAAACATAAATGACAAGTCTTCTTGTCGGTAACTTTCTCAAGTCTACCTCTTATGTCATTCAAGTTGACGTGCTTATTAATGGCTTATCTCTAAGTCCATCTCACTTTAACACTTTCGAAGTGATCTATCCGTCAAGAAGTGTGCTTGGTTCTTATAAAAACTCGAATGAAACAATGGAATGTCGTTTACGAAAACACTTAGCTACTTTTGTTTGGTTTGAAAATCTCACATTTCCTTCTCACACCCAAGCTATAAAAGCTTAGCTACTCATAACGGAAAGTAAATTAAAAGAAAAATAAATGACAGAAAGTAAAGACATAAACGTAAATTGCGTAAAGTAAATGACGAGAAAATAAATAACGAGAAAGTAAATGACGGAAAATAAATGACGAAAATGTAAATTGCGGAAATTAAATAACGGAAAGTAAATAACAATAAATGTAAAGGAACATAAAATAAAGAACAAGAAATTAAAAGACAAGAATTAAAAGATGAAAGCTTTAAAACTCAAGAAC